TAGGACATGGTTAAAAATAAAACTAATTCGTACGTACGAATTACTAATTCGTACGTACGAATTACTAAACCGCGTGTACAAATTACTAAACCGTACGTAAGAAATACTAATTCGTACACTGTACGAATTACTAATTCGTACGTACGAATTACTAAACCGTGTGTACGAATTACTTAAACCGTACGTACGAATTACTTAAACCGTACGTCAGTGATGTAGTGCCTTGATGCTGGGCCTTGGCCTTAAGGCTGCCTTAAGGCTGGATTTTAGGGCCTTGGCCTTGGCCTCGAGGCTTGAGGGCAAAAGCCTTGGCCTTAGCCTTGGCCTTGAGGGTTCAGGGCCTTGCAATTTTGAGTCAAGGCTCTTCAAGGCCCATAGATTTTTTCATTTTCCAGATAAATCTGTTCGAAATTTTGCTGTTACCATTTTAATCGTATTACCATGGAGGAGGGAAGCACCCTATAGATTTGTGTGTTGGGCACACTTCCACTTTTGTAGCATCACATTTTGTTACCATTGTAGTAGATTTGCTGCAAAAATATTCCGTACACTTGTGGGGCTAATGAGATGATCACTTTAAAGAGGTTGTGGAATGCTCGAAGACATTTCCGTCATTTTTCGGGTATATGTAGCCTAAGGTGTGATGAAATAAAAACGACTATTGTTTCTGGCATAAAATGAGTACAAAAGGTACTTTTGAGAGCTGTTTTTCAAGTCCTGTCATGCCTGTTTCGACCCGAACGTGCAATTTGTGTAAAAGTCGTCGTTGCGGGCAGCAAACAAAACACAGTAAATCGTGACGTAATAAACAGGACTCCCGATGCAGAGTAGCATAGCATAAACGAGTCCTGTTTATTACGTCACGATTTACTGTGTTTTGTTTGCTGCCCGCAACGACGACTTTTACACAAATTGCACGTTTTGGTCGAAACAGGACCTGAAAAATAGCTCTCAAAAGTAACCTTTGTACTCATTTCATGACAGAAACAATTTATAGTCGTTTTTATTTCATCACACCTTAGGCTACATATACCCCAAAAATGACGGACATGTCTTCGAGCATTCCACAACCTCTTTAATTGCATATAACTATGGAATAGATCTGATTGGTTGTATATATATGTCTCCCTGATAAGTGCTAAAGATTTGCATGTATCTGTTTTAGATAATGCTGATATTTCTGACCATGTTGGGCCAGCAAATAAAAATTTCCCAAATCAGTTTCTTGGATCCCCCTTTTGTTACACTTGGGAGAATTGTGTGTCAATATAGAAGTAAATCATTATTTTGTTTAGTTAAAGGTAGAGTCCATCATTTGCAGCCATCCGAAAAGTAACTGGCGTAATTATTGTTGAAAAACTAACTTGGTTGAAAGATAGTAAGGAGACTAAACTCCCTGTGAAATTATTCTTTCTGGGAAGCTGTCATATTGAAGTAATCAACGAAAGAAGGCATTTCCAACGGTGATTCTTAAGAAGCACCGTAGGAAAATTTAAATTAGTAGTTTGTTTTGTTATTCAGCGAAGCGCGCACAAGTATTCGAACGACGCACACGCGCGCGCGGTTGTTATAATTCGTCGGATCAGTGCGCGACGTCGCGTATAGTTGCTATTCAAAACAATTCAAAACATGATTCAGCAACTTTTGATTTGAAATTGAGATCTTAGAATGCTGTTTTTCTCGGAATGTACAGCTGAAGCTTAGCTGAAACTTCATCAGGTTAGTTGCTCAGTATCCTTCATTAGATTTTGAACTCTTTTGTTGCTTCAAACGAACAAAATGCACAAATTACAAATGATGGACTCTACCTTTAAACCATATTGAAGACCTGAACTTATACTTTAATAGATACAGTGCAGTCATAAAACGGTGTAGGCCTATGCGAGCATGTTGATTGCAATTAAAGAAATGTTGTTCTTCGTAACGAGCAATTCGTGATGATAAGGGCGGATCCAGGGGGGCCAAAAGGGGCCATGCCCCCCCCCCCAAAAAGAAACCATTTGTTTTTATGTGACGTCGTAATAAAGGCAGGCAATGAGTACAACACCATCTTTTCCTAAAAAAACATCGGTTAAAATGGTCAGAAATTGCCTCAAATCGCACCACAGAGCATCTCGAATCCAAAAATTTTTCGGGGCCCTTAACCCCGAAGCCCAAGCCGTAATTTTTTGACCCACTTTTTTTGGGGGGCCAAAAATTCTTTGCCCCCCCCCCCCCAAAATGGTGTTCTGGATCCACCCTTGCGTGATGATGTGTCACTCATGTGACTATAATTAGTTCTATATCAATGGTCATTTCATAAAACAGGGCCTTGGCCTTGGCCTTGAGGGTTAAGCCTTGGCCTTGGCCTCGAGGCTTGAGGGTCAAAGCCTTGGCCTTGAGGGTCAAAGCCTTGGCCTTGAGGGTCAAAGCCTTTGCTCCAACACTGCCGTACGTACGAAATACTAATTCGTACATACGAATTACTAATTCGTACGTACGAATTAATTAACCGTACGTACGAATTAATAAATCGCACGTACGAATTACTCACTGGCGTAGCCACGGGAGGGGGGGGGGGAGGCGTGGGGGCAGTGGCGTAGCCAGGAATTTTTCAGTGAAGGCCGCTGCTGGGGGGCTGGAACATTTCATGGGGGGTGTCATGTAGATCAATGATAATTTTTTTTGGAAACTCAAAATCTCAGTGGGGGGCGACTGGGGGACGACAAGGTTTCATGGGGGGGCTGTCACCCCCACGCTGTCACCCCCATAGCTCCTATTAACACATGCCTGTGTTTATTATAGCTCCATGGGGCAATCAACCGTGACTCCGTAGCCGGCTACGCTATACGAAGTACGAGGCGCATAGATCGAGTAGCGGGGTAGGCCCGTTCTGCAATTGTGCCCAGTTATTAATTAGTTACCTTTTGTAGTTTGGCCGAATTAACACATCATCAGTCCGTCCGAATCAGTGAAAAGCAGCCGTATAGCGCCAGGGGCACAGAGGTTTGTATTCGTAGCGTCAGTATCACACTGGGCCGGCCGGAGAAAGGGCACTTATCATAAAATATGCTTACGTCACCATTTCGCTACGGAGGTCATTTGGCATCACTGTGAAAACATGAATTATGCAGAAGCCTTGAGTGTTAAACAGTTCTCGTTTCATTTATTTAGGGTGAGTACCAAAAAAAAACTGAACCCAAACCTCCAAAAATATATTTCATATATAAAAAAAAAAAAATATGTAGCATCAAAATAAGTATATAATGACAGGAAAACCTAACTATTCCAGATTTTTTTTTTTTACATAAAAAAAATATATACTGAAATTGCTCAGTCCGTTCAAATAATATCACCATTAAAACGCAATTACCCTAAATACCGGTTTCCAGTGGCGTAGCCACGGGGGGGGGGGGGGGGGGGGGGGGGGGGGGGGGGTCGACAGCCCCCCCATGAAACCTTGTCGCCCCCTCCCCCCCCCCCCCCCCCCCCCCAGTCGCCCCCCACTGAGATTTTGAGTTTCTAAAAAAATTATCATTGATCTACATGACGCCCCCCCCCCATGAAATGTTCCAGCCCATATCAAATCCTTTGTGGTCAAAAGGACCCCATGTAAACTGGCCAAAGCGCACAGCTAAATGACTTTGGACCATAGAGCTGTATAAGGCCTATAGTGTAGTTTTAGGATACCACGTGCGCTTTTGCATGCGCGGTGCTAGCCCGTAGTTCAGCGGTTGTTTATTGTGCATGTTGTAAACGCTGTAATGTTCACATGAGCTACACGCCTGAAAACGTGTTTCTTCGTTCATGAGACCGCAACATTTGCGCGCCACTCGTGCACCGGACGGATGTTAACAGGTCAAATCGCCGGATCAGATCCACCTTTTGCGTTCCCATCTGATCGTGATCCGGCAATTGCCGGATCTGATCCACCAATTGGGGGATCTGTATCCTGGTCCAGAGGTGGATCAGGTGGATCTGATCCTGATCCACCTTATAACGGTCTGGCGCATATGGCCTCCGTGCGCGCGCCGGCCCTTGGCACGGATCTGCATAATTCATGTTCTAGCGACGTCATACGACCTGCTAATCAACTTGGTGACGTAGGCATAAATTATGATAAGTGCACCTTCCTCCCAGTGTGATACTGACGCTACCGTTTTTATTCCTCCATGGTAAGAGTGACGTGTCATCTAGGGTATCTATATCTAGGGTCTAGGGCAGGGTCAGGAATACCAGAGGGGTTCCACTCCACTAAAAAAAAAATGTGCATATTAAAGGAATCAACCAAAATAGCACAGAAAAAGCGCCCTCCCGAGGCACTCAGATGAGGAGCAAGGTGAATTCTGGAAATTACAAAGATTACAAACTCCTGGACAATTTCCTTATTCAATTTTACCAGAGCTACCAACCATTTTTGATTTTTGTTTTATTCCCACCTCAATGCCGGCCTAAGCCGGCCCCTGAACATACAGGGCGTAAATCCCCCCCCCCCCCACTTTTTGACAAGGGGGGAGGGGGAGGGGGAGGGGGATGGGCTATTGGATCATCCTCCCCCTCTACTAATTCGCGGTGAAATACAAAAAAAATATTTTGAGGCATCTTCCAACTTCCCAACCACCATAAGCTTGAAATGCGCCGTTTTGATGCGAGATTGAGGGGTGCAAGTATGCATAAGAAATTAAGATGTACAGGTACATCTGTATCCTGAACAGTGCCCCCTAGTGTCATGTGCAGCAAGGACCCCCCCCCCCCCCCCCCTAGATGTGGCCCGGTCCCTGCCTTTTTTGCGAAATAGACCCAGACGCTGGGATGTTTGTGAACGAAATATTCCCGCCCCACCCCATATATACATGTACCAGAACAGCAGTTATGCAGAGGAATGTTTTTCCTCCATCAGCTTGGTTCAGGGTGAAGACATTTGGCCTAAAATTGGACCCGAAAGTTACTCCTTTTTTTTGGCAAGAATAATGATTCCCATCCCCCTAAAAGAAAGAAGAAATCAACAAACTACACAGATGCCCAGTCTTAAAACAACACTATTTATTTAATTCCCATAATTGAACACATATAAAATGCACTTTCGAACGAAACTAAACCCTTGGGGTATCCATAAAACTGGAAATGAAAAGGTAAAAAAAAAAGGCTGACCTTTGAAGTACATGTACATGATTTTTCCAATGAAACAGCTTACATTTGAACACTTTTTTGTGCTACAATATTGAACAAAATTATTGACAAAACTATCACAATGTTGAATTCAACAGCCATTTTTTTTTTACAATTAAACTCTTTTTGCCACAGACAAAATAATTCTTGAATTGTTGAGGAAAAAGGTACTCGGCAGCTATTTATTTTATAACAATATCTGACTTCATAAAAAATACAGGCTGCTACAACTGCTTAACACTTGAATCATGGCCTGTTGGAACACAGCATACACGGCCACGTGTATAGGTTCAAGCAATGTCAGAATTTCAATGAGATTGTCAAATTACTGTAGTCTGCATATGTACTTCGGTCAATGTATATGTTAAGTATCTCTGAGTTATGGCAGCACGGAAGGAAAAAAAATCATGTGTCATTCAAAATCACTTTAAAAGCTAAAACACTAACATCAATATGTACAGAGAATAGTAACTACATGTACATGACAAAAAGAAAAAAATAAAAGTTTAAAAGCATGAAACCCATCTGCATTACATTAATGTTTTTTTTAATGTTTGTTCAACCACATCTTTCTTTAATATAACTAATTTCATGGGTTTTTTTCTCTCAACAGGGGTTTCTTTGGATGTTAAAATACTCAAAGTCCAGTGAAAATGCAACCTCATTAAAATAGGCCAAGCATTAGCCATGAAATTATTCACAAGTGTTCAAGGTCTTTGTCTGGATTTATACACTGAAGTCGAATTATGGAGTTATGGTCAAAATACATTTTAAAAAATCCGCCCTAAAAAGTGGCCCTTTAACAGTGAGAACCAGTTCAAACTGCATACTGGAGGAACAAACCGGTTTAAGCAACCTCAAGCCCACTACTCTCTTCAAAAATTTCTCTCAAATTCTAAACGGGCTTAGATTGACTTTTCGCAACTGATGCAAACTCATTGATTTTTGAAGTTCACAGATCCACGAAAAGCCAACCAACTTGGAATGTTGATGATTGATATTTAACGTTTAATCCACTGGTTTTGAACTAGCTTGGCACCGTGTTGGAGATTACTGGCTCGAAAAAGGTTCAGATAGGTTTCAGCAAGACTTTCCCTCCCACAGATTTGCCAAGTCTTGTCCAGGAGAATTTCAGATCACAAGGCTGACGAACCGCTCGGAACTTGCTTGCAGATCACTGGAATCTGTCAGGTTCAACTATTGTAAACAAGCAATAAATAAAAAGTGAATTGTTAAACTCAAAAAGAAAATAACGGTATAAATTATTTACATGTTACTTCAAATTATGTGGATAACTTGGTTAAGTTAGGCTCACAAACATGGAAGTTGCATCAACAAAAATAAACCCCACTGATGATGCCCACTGATTGAATGTTTTAAGTGACGATTCCCGTTAATGAAGTGTAAGATCTGAGACTGACGTGATGGGTACAATCGGCATTAGGATCAAGGTGGATTTCCTGCTCTTGGGTAAAATAAAAATGGTGGAATTTAGAGTGAGGGGCGTTGTCGCACGACCCAGCAGGAGTATGTTTAATACTTTAAATGGTACAACTTTTTTTATTGTGAGGTGACACTGTTAGACTTGGAGAGACAGAACAGTGACTTACTGTAGGAGGCCATGTCAATTTCTTCGGGGAGTTCTGTGATGTTGACCTCGAAGCGGTCTTGCACGTCATTCAGGATTTTGGCGTCGTTCTCGTCCGAGACGAAGGTGATGGCCAGACCCTTGGTGCCAAAACGGCCAGCACGGGCAACCTGCAAATTTCAAGAGGTTTTGAATTTCATTGTTTTGATCTTGAAAATTAACAACAGTTAAAAAAAGGGTAATGAATCAAACGGACATCATCCAAGGATGACAAGCAAATCCATCAAGGCATGTTTGACAAAATTTGAATCTGCGTAAGGGTGCTGGAAGCATCACAGACTTAGAGATGGCTACTATTGTTGCCTTGGTGTTTAACATGCTAGGAAATGGATAATACATATCCTCAGCCAGTCAGACCCAAATGTCACCAAGATCACTACTTACTCTGTTTCTGCGCTAAAGCGAAAACACAGCAGACATCCAGCCAAAAGCAATGTACACCACATGTCCTTTTCGAAAATTTTGGCAAACTTGTACATTTTTGGCAGGGAGAACTTGTCTGTGATAAGATACTGTGCAGTTTTAGGAGCTCTGAAAAAATTCAGCACTCATACACAAGTAACTGTAACCAGGTTAAGACTGGCCAAAATAGTTTGCCATGAACACACATTGCATTCTACAGCTAGTGAATCTTTCCAAATGTGGGTCAATATCTAACTTCATTTCAGTAAACAGGCTCATGACTGGTGGAAACGATTGGCTCCATGCACCAACAAGAGAGGGCGCTTTTTGACCACTTTCGAGAGTCCTGAGGCCGTAAGGCGTTGTTGGCAATGCGTTCGATGTCTCGCCCAGTGGTCTCCCCAAACTCTCCCTTTTTTACCGTTGAGGGGGTACTTGTGCACGAAGCCCATAGATAGAACCCAAAGCAATTTTTTTCTTACCCTGTGAAGGTAGGTGTCCGAGTTTTCAGGCATGTCGTAGTTGAAGACGATGTTGACTCTCTCAATGTCCATGCCTCGGCCAAACAGGTTGGTGGACACCAAGATACGCTTCTCGAAATCTTTGAACAGCTTGTAGTTTTGTAACCTGGGGTTGTGAGACAAAGACAAATATGAAAACAAATGTTGGTTTCAGGTTTTACAACTTCCAGCTCAGCGACGCCATGATGGAAGATTCTTGCTAATAAAAGCCAACCATTTAGTGCAACATGTGTTAATTCAACGTGTGCAGTTCGGATAGACAAATGTAGGCTACAAAGCTCTTGGATTCTACAAGTCGGAAAATGCCTGTATTGGGCATTACGGTGTACGTAGAGGTGTTGGTCCAAAATTTGATTGCTTCATGCAAGGTAATTAAAATGTTAAAAGATTCAGGGAAAAAAAATCAGAACAATTTCATCCAGGACAGACTTTTTGAGAATTTACAACACTAAGCCTCCCACAACATTCAAAATCTCTTAAAAAAAGTACATCCATTATTACTTTACATGGGCTTGACACCCCTAACCCTAACAATCCGAAATCCTTCAATTTTAATACGATTTTGCACACCCCCTAGGGAGTTATGGTTTTAAAGAATGAGGCAATTGCACAGTGCTGGATTTTGGAGAATTCAGCAAGTTTCCGAACGGAAATGTCGTTTGGGGGGGGGGGGGGGGGAGGAAGAGTTTGAAGCAAGAAATTGGTAACGTATTTTTTTTTCGCACATGCTCCTAAATCAAGTAAACATCATTTGCTGACCTTGTCTCCTGCTGCATAGCGCGATGGATGCTGATGGCAGGGAAATTCTGCTCCACCAGGAGTAGGCAGAGAGCCATGCAGCGCTGCACACTCTTGATGAAGATCACCACCTAGGGAGAGCACAGAAACAAAGTGTTGGCGATCACTGGTTGGTCTTTATCCCTAACTCCCTGGGGTCTTTTACTGGGAACTGGACCAATTCAATCAAAATCCATCAGCCACAGTTGTATCCTGCTGCAGTAGGCAAACACAGACTCTGAGGCAGTTTGGCCTCGAGTCTTTTGACTGGATGGATCTTGCTACACTGAGCAGGCTTGTCATTTTGACAAGTGTTGCAGTTGCTGCCTTTAGCAGGGTTTCTAGTCAAAATACCTCGGAGTGTTAGGATTAAAGTGAAAGAAACACCACTCAAATATTCATCTGGAACTGTAAATGTGACCCTGCTTGGTGATTTAGTATTATCATTACCTGGTTGAATTCCAGAACATCCAGCAGGTCAAACAGCTTGCGGTTTTTCTCGTTGTCCTTCAGTTTGACGTAGTACTGCATCAGACCATGCAGGGTCAACTTGGTCTCGTCATCTACGTACACCTCCATGGGCTGAGGAGAGTTGGGCAATACGGTTTAGTACATCATAATTTACAAGGTTTTTTTGGTGTGGGATGGGGCGCCATTCATCTAAGGATGCCAGAACAGCATGAACGGGTTAGGAATTCTTTCCTATATCATCTCAACTTTTTCACAAAATTTGTCTTGCATATTTTATTACAAAATTTCTAGTCATTTTGACGTATCATTTCTATGGATCAAATTTTAATTGGTCAATAGAAGAGAAATCAGAATGTATTCACAATTTATAAATTTTTTTATTGTTTATATTCCTTTCTTGTTCCTGAAAGAAATCCGACAATGGAAATGCCTTTTTATCAGACCGATGATCTTGGACGCATTGAGGCCTTACAACACGCAGGTTGAGGGGTCCGCACTTTCCAAGCACCGGTCTGATCTGTGTCGGCACAGCAGCTGTTCTGGCATGTTAGTCCCTACAATAATGGGGCCAAGTGTAAAAGCCTATGCCAGCCACAATTCACGAAGCCAAATAGCCCAGTGTCACGATTGCCCCCACCCCCCCACGTCGTCCAGTATCAGTGGCTGACAATGTCAAGTTAAAACTGCAGCGACATTTTAAAACACTTTCTTGAATAACTGTGGACTCGACTGAAAGGCATCGAATATCAGCCAAGCGTCAAGTTTGAATTATGCTTTTACTGTTGGATGTGCTATTCCATATTCTATAAAAACAAGAACAGACTTTTCATTTGCTGTGACAATTAGTTTCAAGTGATATTGTAATTGGCAAAGGTTTTTTTTTCCATCAAAATTTGTATTGCTGCACATTACAGAGCTCCCCATTTCAATCTCGCTAATTTGTCTCACATTTGTTTTGTTTGGCAATCAAGTATCCTCCTTTTTATCAATGCTGCTTCTGTTCACAGTAAATTTTTGGGAATTTGACTGTTTCACAACCCCAAGTTTCATTGATTTGATTGCTGTCCCAAAAGAATCTTGTTGAATTTAAATTAAAAAAAATTTAAAAAAATTGGGGTGGCCCCCTTCAGGCCTTCTCCCATTGGACATGTGATTGGAAAGGGAGATGGTAGGTCCAGCAAAACGTTGAGCCACGACCAGGCGATGACGCGACCGAGAACCACAGGACAGGCAGGCAATGGCAAGGCAAAGGAGGGGGTGATGCAGGGGGTCGCCCGATGACCACAGCCGGTGAAGTATCCGTTGATTCGTGGAGGTAGGTTATCAAGTCCCTTGTGAAACGTGTCACCGATAACCAATCACCCATATATAACAGTTCACCCACTGGGAAGGGCTGGTTTGCTTACCCCAAGATTATTGTCCGATGCGTCCAGATTTTAAGAATTTCCACTTCAGCCGACGATTCCGATAACGGTATGATGCAAGAGTTCTCAGTATGGGATATTCCACGTGATTGCATAGTGTAGTGATTGAGCTGCCGCTGGTAGTCCACACTTCATAGTGAAGTATTTTTGAAATATTTCTCTCTGTCGTTTGGTAGAAGCTGTATTGCTTTTCCTTTAAAAGTCCGCCCTTTTTGGGATCAAATTTCATTCACTGGCCAAAAGCCAGATGCAGAAACCTACGCGAACACATCAAGGGCGTGAAATTATACGAACCAATTATCAATTGTATTTTTCGGGGAGAAAAGTGGCAGGCACTATTCATTTGTCTTGGACAGTATGGTTGGTAGAAAAGGCAAGAATCATAAACCAAATGAGAATCCCTGAAAAAATACCGATGATGAACTCATGGGCGCCTTTGGGCCTGACCTAAAGTCAAGTCCGCATTTCCCACGAGTAAAATCCAAACCAAAATTCCAAGACGCATAAAAAACCACATCATATTATGAACCCTAAAAAAAAATGTTGAACTCATGGGCGCCTTTGGGCTTAACCTAAAGTCAAGTCCGCATTTCCCATAAGAAAATCCAAACCAAAGAATTCCAAGTAGCATAAAAAACCGCTGTATATAGAGAAACCCTACAAAGGTGGAACTCATGGGCGCCTTTGGGCTTGACCTAAAGTCAAGTCCGCATTTCCCACGAGTAAATAATTCCAGACCAAGAAATGTCCACAGACAAAAAAACCCAACAAACATTATCATCCCTAAAAAACGGAAGTGAAGAACTCATGGGCGCCTTGGGCCTAACCTAAAGTCAAGTCCGCATTTCCCATGAGAAGAAAAAAAAAATCATAAAAAATAAACACTTTCAGCAATTAATCCTTCACTTAACATAAAATTCTTTGTGCCCAGCCTGATGCAAGTCTATATTTCCATGAGACAAAAACAGCACCAAAAGTCTTGAAAACCGGAACTGAATCATTGACGAGACAAACTCATGGGCATCTTGGCGTGACCTGAATTCACGTCCGCATTTCCGAGAAGACAACCTAAAACATCCATCAAAAGAAATTCCAAAAAATGACTTTTGAATTAGAATGTGCCTGCCACAGTCTATCAAGATATGAATGTGAGTGAAGCTTTTGCCCCCCCCCCCAATTTCTTTTTTCATTATGTGCGTTGTCGTTGGGAAGCTGCTTGCTGTAGACTCCGCCACTGGAGGTCGGAAGATGAAGGTCTGCCATGTCTTGTCTGCCTACTTGATTGCCATTTGCCGACCTGCCTCCTGTTCCCCGATGCTGGTGCTCTGCTGGCTGCCAACCCCATATGCGACCTTCCCTTGGATCACAGCCATCTCGCTGTCGACGCAATCAGCTGCTATCGAGCGAAAAGATTCACGCTCAGAATGAGACTACCGGAGTGTGGCCTTTTCAGGACCCCACGGTCACGGTGCGCTTGAGCTGGAACCCGCAGAGTGCAGGACAGAGGGTGGGTATATTTACGTCTTGCATGAACTTCTTGCAGACTGGGCGGATCTCTTTGCTGAGTGTAGCGCTGAACATCATGACTTGCTTCTCGTGGGGCGTAGAACGGAAGATCTCCTGCACGTCTTTCCTCATGTCTAGAAGAAAAAGAACAAAAATTATAGCTGATAATCCAGTGCACTGAGTGTTATGTTATAAAATTGAGTCAATTTTGAAGCTTACAAGACCACTTCATCCTAATCCTTCAAAATCCCCCAGGTGGTTTTCAAAAGATTAGGCGATACGGAACCAGCCACTTGTACTTTGCATGGGGATTGATGCCTTTTGGAAGTCCATGAACAAAGAATTTGCCATTGGATTTTTGCACAGAAGAGATTTTGGAGGAATAAACAAGGTTCCTAGCAAGGATGCCATTGATGTAATTTAGTGTCAAGTTCCCTACATATTTATTGAAATTAGTCACCTCTTAACTGGCCCTTCACTTGGAAAGCCAAGTTAGTGGAGTTGCTTATCCCAGAAATACTGTGCAATATATTGCTTGTGATTATGCTTACAGTTGATTTTATATATGCTAAGCAGCTCAATTAAACAGAGCTCGGGGTAGCACCACAACATTGGCAGCCAATTGCTTTCAAAATCAGCGCCAATCATTGGAAGTACCTCGGTTCAAAATCTCAACACATAGTAACTGGCTCACCTAGCTGTTCCAGCATCTTGTCGCACTCGTCCAGGATGAAGTGCTTGACGTTCTTGAGGTTGAGGGACTTGTTGCGCACCAGGGCCAGCAGGCGGCCCGGCGTGCCCACCACGATGTGCGGCGGGTCCGTCTTGAGCCGCTGCATGTCCTTCTGGATGCTCAGCCCGCCGAAGAAGACGGCCACTTTGTCCTGCATGTCCTTCATGTACTTGGAGAAGCGGTCGTACTCTTTCTTGATCTGGTAGGCCAGCTCGCGGGTGTGGCACATGACAAGTACACCAATCTACAGCAATAAATAAAAAAATATGATAGTGTGATTGGGAGAAAATCAGAAGAGAATCACGCGTGCATCAGAAAACAACTATGAACCGTTCAAGTCGAACAATACATGCATGCTTGTTTTTTAACAAGGCGCCATACATTTTGTCAGAAAGTATGTTGCTATAGTAAACTACGTTTTGACCAATTGTGTTTTGCTCAAACCACATCTTGTACTTGAATAATGCTTTGGAAGCCAAGCCACATAATGAGACATTTTGAAATGCAAGAAAACTTCTGGGGAACCCGACTCTAGATTCAATTAAGGTATACATGCATCATGAATTTAACCACTACCCCTTGAGTGCTTTACTAGGAACCTTCCTTACTCCTACGAATTCAAACACCATGGTAAACTCTACATCCAAAGTGCTGGAGTCTGATTACGGTGGTATGCCTAACCCCATGTAAAGCATAATCAGTTTACTAGTGCAGTACTCACTCTAACAGATTCCAACAAACCCTGGTGTTGGGCTTTGACTGGATGGGATCGTTAGGGTTAATAAAAATACATTTTTTTTTAATGCACATAAGCAATGGGCAGGGAAAGTCTAACCAAGGAGGCTCAGCATATCTCCCTTTTGGATACAATTCATCCATAAAAAATTGATTGGCTGTGTTTCTGCACTTAAGAAAAATCCACCATACCTGACCAGAGACAGGCTCCAACTGCTGCAGAGTGGAGAGAACAAAGACAGCTGTCTTGCCCATACCGCTCTTGGCCTGGCACAAGACGTCCATGCCCAGGATGGCTTGCGGAATGCACTCATGTTGAACTGTGGGATTTAAAAAAAAAATACAACATTAGAAACATTAGAATATTAACCCTAACCGCCCTGAATCCTCCAAAATCCTTTTTGCAAATTGGAGGAATTTGCAGGATTGAGGTTACATGGCAAAAGTGCATTGCTGATTTCGGAGTACGCACTTTGTCAAGGTCTTGGGCCGGACCTTGTGTTGTTTTATTTGTATATGCTCAGCCGTGCATAAATTTAGTCCTTGATTATACCTGACATCCTCCGCACTGCTCCAGGATGTCACTGCCTCTGCCTCTGCCTCAGCCTATTGACAGTCATAGCCGGAGGATTTTGCAGGATTCAGGCAGTGGTCACCCCTCCATGGACCATATTCAAGAAATAACGGAGGAATTTGCAGGATTGAGGCTACATGCTATTTTTCCATGAGGCCAACTGGAGGATTTTGCAGGATTGAGGCTACATCCTAGCAAAAAGGCCTAGGGAGTTAGGGTTAACGTTCCTTTTATGGTATATCTTTACACTTATAAGGCATCTGCAAACCACTTCAACTGCTGGAAGAAATTGCCTTTGAACAAACCAGGGCATTAAGCCCTCGGTATTAAAGTGAAAATAGCTGTGGTCAGGAAGACAAAAATTCCAGGGGATTCAGAGTTAAATCTTAACTCAGAGATGCCACAGGGTCTGCTTGAAAAAAAAAACGGAACTGGGTCTGCTTGAAAAAAAAGAATACGTGTGCTTAGCACACAACACGCCCGCACGCGGTGAAGCACGCGCGAGGCGCCGTTGTATACTGCGTGCAATTAAGTACGTTGGCCGCATGCAGGCTCAGCAACAACATACACAAAGACTGTTTTTAAGACTACTTCAACGAACAACGTTGTGCCATGCGTGCGCCTAAATGTACTAAATCGAGGTAAAAATCAACGCATTTCCACAGTTTTTCTTCTCTTTTTCTGGTTAATTTGACGGCCGGAAAAACCGGAATTTTGTGACATTTTTTTTAAAAACGGGAATTCCAGTTAAAACCGGAAAAGTGGCATCTCTGTAAACTGATTACCTTCTGAGGGATGCTCAAAGCCACAGTCCACGATGGCCCGGAGCAACTCTGGCTTCAATAAGAAGTCGCGGAACCCGGAGCTGTGGATGGACACGTACGTGCCTTTCACGTCTTTTTTGGCCACCACCTGGGTGGTCGCATCACCCCCGGCCTCCTGCGTGGCGTCATGTTCCTCCTCCTCGTAGTCCAACAGCTCTTGCTCAACGTCGTTTTCGGCCATTTTAGTTAATTATGTTGCTGTTGTTGGGGAACAATTCAAAGTGAGTAAGGAACTGATGTTTAATTCTCCAAATGACAGTGAAAGGTCGGTCAAATCCCCACAAATATCTGTCAGCCTTTGTTTCGCGGACAAAAAAATTAACGTAGTGGCAATCGTTACAACAGCGGTTACACGATTTTCAACTGCTATTGTTATGGCATTGCAAAAAAATCTATATCACATTTACAACTGATCTTCTGAATAGAGCACTTTGATAGCTCGGATGAATGCTTGACTACACTACCATTTTCATTTTTTTTTTTTAGTTTCATTGAAGTCCCCACTTTTAATGTTTTTAATAAAATAAAATCAGAGTTTTTGTAGAGGTAGATATCATTTTATTCTTCGTAATCTGTGGCTTAGTCTTAGACTTAGAGGATTTTTTAAATGGGAAATAAAGTCCAAGAACTATTCGGTCATGTCGATAGAAAGGCTGGTTCCAAAAGCCGTAGATAATACATCTTTGACGTTGAATATTGTCAGGTCAGGTTTGAATATCCACTGCACTTTCGCTCAAAGCACCCTCTATCGACAACTCACATAGAGATAAAACGCAGTGGCTATCGTTACCGCAGCCGTAACGCATTTCCCATTTTCTATCGTTACGGTAGTACTGCAACTTTTATAAAAACATGAGAAGAAAATATAAAATTAGAAGGAAAAACGGAAAAATTCTGCCAACCGGACACCACTTTTTTCAATTAATTTTCTAGCGCCAAAAGTTACCTTTTTTATGGTTATTCCCTCCACTTTCCCTCCTCTACTCTCACCGCCTCCTTTCCTTAATTTCTATTTATCAATCAGTCACTCACTTCATCGAGATTCGAACCTCGGACGCTTGCTTGATACACGAGTCTCTTAACCGCTAGGCTGCGCACGATCGCTGTTGCAATGATCAATCTTTGGATGTATTTGAAGTATCCATTGAAATAAACTAAATATTTATGAGAAAATAAATATTCATAATGACGTATTGCACTATCATTGGCCGGCTCAGGCAACGTCTCATGCGACGTCATGGGACGTCATGGTTATCGATGTCATGTGTATAACGTACCGCTATTCCAGACACTTCAATCAGTTTTGACCGGCTGCTTCAACTCAGATCTGCACTACATGTGCATGCAAAGTGTGCTCCAAAAACACATTTTTACCAATTTTTTTTCGCATGTCCACTCTTTCCTGGATTCCTCTTGGTTGAAATCACAAGGTAAGGTGAAAATTTGGATGTTTGGGGCAGGTAAGTGGTGTCCGGTTGGCAGAATTTTTCCCCCTATCGACTGAGCTGTCGCACTGCTCGCTAGAACGTGGGGAAACAAATAATTATATACCTGCGTGCGTATCAAAAAAGTATCGTAGAGGGCGCTAAACAACGGCTGCCGTAACGATAGCCACTTCGTAGATAAAAACAAGACAGTCCTCATTTTCAAAAGTAAAAACTTGAAAACCCCAATTCGGATCTAAGGATGTGAACCATTTCCTGGTACAACTATAGAATGCAGGGCCACTTTACTCTACATCCGCGCCTCCGTACGGCTGCGTGGAGGCGTGGAACCGCAGTCGACCTACCTCCGAAAATCGATCGTGGAGTCGTGGAGCCGCAGAGAATTGCGCCCTCTATCGGTGCGCGTCTCTGCGACTCCGCGACTCCGCGCCTCCACCACTGAGAGAGACAGTGCCCCGTCGCCCTCCCCCCCCCCTTCCTAATTTGCGCGCCCAATTAAAGCGACTCTGCGACTCCGCGCCTCCGCGACTCCAGACAGTGCCCCGTCACCCTCCCCCCCCTTCCTAATTGGCCCGCCCAATTAAAGTGACTCTGCGACTCCCCGACTCCGCGCCTCCGCGACTCCAGACAGTGCCCCGTCGCCCTCCCCCCCCTTCCTAATTGGCCCGCCCAATTAAAGTGACTCTGCGACTCCCCGACTCCGCGCCTCCGCGACTCCAGACAGTGCCCCGTCGCCCTCCCCCCCCTTCCTAATTGGCCCGCCCAATTAAAGTGACTCTGCGACTCCCCGACTCCGCGCCTCCGCGACTCCAGACAGTGCCCCGTCGCCCTCCCCCCCTTCCTAATTGGCCCGCCCAATTAAAGTGACTCTGCGACTCCCCGACTCCGCGCCTCCGCGACTCCAGACAGTGCCCCGTCGCCCTCCCCCCCCCCTTCCTAATTGGCCCGCCCAATTAAAGTGACTCTGCGACTCCCCGACTCCGCGCCTCCGCGACTCCAGACAGTGCCCCGTCGCCCTCCCCCCCCCCCTTCCTAATTGGCCCGCCCAATTAAAGTGACTCTGCGACTCCCCGACTCCGCGCCTCCGCGACTCCAGACAGTGCCCCGTCGCCCTCCCCCCCCCCCTTCCTAATTGGCCCGCCCAATTAAAGTGGATATGGATGCTTCGTTCTCAAAAGATTCCGCCGAGAATTGCGCCCTCTATCGGTGCGCGTCTCTGCGACTCCGCGACTCCGCGCCTCCGCCACTGCGGCCACTCCAGTGCCCCGCGTCTCCGCGATTCTGCGACTCCAAGACTCCGCGCCTCCGCCGCTCCAGACAGTGCCCCCAACACATTTACAAGCACGCCCTCCCTTCCGATCCTTCATGAGAAGCTTTGAAGACAAGTGCAGTGCATTCCTTCGCTGTACTTAGCACTTTTTGGCAGGTTTGCATATCTATTACTCCTATTCCATCCACGCCTCCAGGCAAAATAAAAAACCTTGCTTCGGCGTGGCCCTGCATTCTATAGTTGCTCCCATTTCCTAATTATAAAGAATTTTCTCGTCCCATTTGCGATTCCGAACGCTTAATTTTAATCTCAGACGTGGCTTCAGGCACAAAACTGCCTTAACCAAATTCTTTGTCATCTTTGTCCAAAAAAGTATTTAAATGGCAATCAGTATTCCACAAATTCTCCCTCATAAAATATTTGAAACAGTTTTAACAAAATTAGGTTGTTTTTAATAAGTTTACTTGCGCATGAAGCGCGATTATGATGGATTTTCTTACCTTTCTCGGAGTCTCACTAGCGACAATAGAAAACGGCGACTAAAGTGACGTCACGTCAGTTTCGTACGTACCCGGTGTCTTATTTTATCTATGACGCACGCACAAGGACATTGCACAAATCTGTACAGGGCCGGAGACGAGGTTGATAGGAACGCTTTCAACCTGATGACGTCATTAATGCTATGCAAAAAATTGATACCCCTTTTGTAATGACAAAAATTTACACTGCACATTTTTTGTTCTCTTCGTTCTTTGCAAACACAACTGTACTATTGATGACCCAAAATTCATTGATTTTGTAAATTATAGGCGAACATTTAACTGTAGTATACTGACGGAAATATTAATTAGATATATTTAAGACAACTATTATTGCGTAAGCAATATTTTTTGTAGCACCATTAGTACCCGACTAAGCAAATAGTAATGCATTTAATCCGCGCTGGGTCAGGGATCCGCTTGAATTGAGATTTTGTTTACAACTGAACTGAAGTGTTAGCTCGGCCTGGCCTTGTTTCGGGCTGATAATTTTAGTTGTGTTCGAGGACAGAAGTAGACTGCAGTGATGGTCTTTTGTTCTCAGACTTTTTACCAGGGTGGGGACGATTCCTTCCTTTTCGGTTTTAGCTGGACGATTGCTTCCGGTATGGTCACGTCATGACTGTTGGTGGTGCCTGGGGGACTTCGCTGCGACTTTGGGCGTGACTTTTCACTTGGCATGCTGGAGTGATTGTGTAGACAGTTGAAGAACAAAAAAAACCGGAGGTGTCCGGACACCTCCGGTTTTTTTTGTTCTTCTTAAAAAAGTTCTGTCGCTCCTCCAAAGTCCGCAATCTCGGGCAACATTCTCTTAGTCTTAATTATACTGACCTTATTTTAAAAAGGAAAGAATGTTGCATCCTGACGCCACTTTTTTTCATTAAAAATAAAATCATCGTAACGTTAGACCCACTTACCATTCTAACTGGGGCGCTAGAACTCATTTTTTCCCCCGAAATTTGGATTTGGTCTTTCCAATGGTCTTTGGTACTGTCGTAAGTCTGGATACCATGGATACTACAATTCTTTCCTTAAATTATTTTTTTAGAACGATCAATTGGGAGAAAATGTGACTTTCTTACTTGATTTTCTGGTAACGAGCATGCGAATCAACACACTGCCGCACTGTTGTACCGCGGTATGCTGGTGGCACGTGAGGCACAGTGCGCTGGTATACCAACCAATAACCGACGGTCTACCAAACCAGATTTGACACTATCGCCAAGTTGGTTTTCAGTGTTTGTGTTTCTTGTCAATGTCATCACTTTTTAACCCATACTTTCCCTCAAATATCAAAACACTGCCATCTTTCCACAATATTAATCCTGCAGATATTCAACATGGTGTCATCGTCATCTACTTAGATGAATCCAAGGGTTAAGAAGTGGATTTTCATTCTCTTTGGTCCTCAACTACACAATTACCGTCACTTCACCCATTTTCAACTTTGCCGTCACTCAGTACCTGGAATAAGTGCTTACCTTGGTAACTGGGGGTGGGCTGGAGAACTCCCTTTTTTCAAATTTTGACATTGGTCGGTCGAAGCATGGAGCTATCGAACTGGCCCTGTGCTGTGAGCTGTGGGCCACAGTGAGCCACATGCGCACAGTTCCGCCATGTCCGCACCGGCATTCATTCAAAACATATTTTCATTGGAATGTTAGGAAATATTAACAATGTTACACTTAACGTAGTTTTCTCTTTTGTTTTTCTTGTTTAATTTAGGTTACTGTGATGGAAGCCTACCTTCTTCCAGAAGCACCGTATCAAAAAACAGTCGGGACAGTGACACTGTAGAGTACAACCCAGTCAAGTCAGTAGAAGAATGAAAATGACTGCACAATGAGAACAAATGTACACAAATACACTTGCAAGATCAAGACATTTCAGTCTAACAGCCAGCTAGACCTACGGCAGATTATGCACATGTGTACATGCATCATTAACTTCGTCATTTTGTGACTTCAATAGCTTCTTTATTTATCTTCAACAGTAACTGTTTTGCACAGCTCACGTAGCTTGTCCGGATAAGAGAATGCCAGCACATCTGGACTGCATTGTACTATGGTGATGAGTGTTCTTTAGCTTAGGTACACATGACTTTTCTGTAACGTGCCGCTTCGCTCCAAAACTTACACCGCTTGATATTTCTTACGAGCAGAAATATATCAACGACATTTGTCCGACATTTGTCTTGCGTGCAGTCAACTTGAGTACAGAACAATTGGAAGGGTGAATTGCTCTTTCTAGTAAAGTAACACAACAGACATATCTGACACCTGGATGTTGCTACAAGAGTAAAAACCTAACTTTTGTCATTGCAAGACATGAATACATGAGATCATGGCATTGGCAGATATAATTGCAAGCATCACACATTGGATTAGCAGTTTCCTATGGGTCTGCAGTCAGCCTTTGTATTGGATTCATTGCATCTACGAAACCAACTACGATGCTGTGTCAGCGTTATTCTCCGCCATCCTTTACTGTCTGTTCTACACAGCGAAGGCCGTGCAGTTGCTATTGTTTGGCATTCTGTCTATGGTCCAGATTATTATAGATGTGCTTGCAAGTCTGAAATATGTCTTCCGTTTCATTTCATCTGCAATATTTGCGCTCATCAAGTTTGGGATTCAGATCTCGCAATTTTCAGTTTCTGTTTTCCAAATGGTACTGGAATATGGACCTTGGGTGATTGAAAAGGTGTGGTGTGGTGCCGTGTGGTGTTATGCAGCGATAGCATATTGCATTAATTGGGCTTTGGATTCTGCTGGAGGTCTTCCGACACCATCCATGCTGTTGGAACCTCTGAAGGAACCTCTGAAGGGCATCGTTTCATTTTTGTACGATATTGTTGTGTCTTTTGGGAGCTGGCTGATTACAGCAGGGAAGACGGTTTCTGATGTATTGACTGAAGTCCAGTCATTGGCATTTGGTCTTGTAACCGGAGCACTGACTGCTGCTTTGGATGCATTTCTCCGATTTGTGGGCGATTTGTGGCAGATGAGGACCGCTGTTGAAGACTCAATTATGATGGCTAAGGCTTACTCGGGCAGAAAGGCGGCTGAAATATATACTGAAATTCTAGAAGCCAGCAGCAATGCTTTTGGTTCATTTGTCGATCTCATGGTTGCCCTGGTGTCCACAATTTCCTACGTCGGGATCTTTGCCATTGTCTGCCTTCTTCTTGTCCTGATCCCTTTGAAGCTTTACAACCTGTTTGTTAATGCCTTGAGGTCGGCCAACACAATGATGAACCTTTTCCACCGCGCATTGTCTCGTGGTGAGCGCAACCACCTACGGCAACCACGATACCAGCAGAACGTGGAACAGAGGCTTCCACGGGAGAGGGATGCATTTGATATGGACGATGATGAGTCGCTTCTAAGACCACGGCGCACAGCCCCGCGAGTGCCACAGCCTAGGCCGCAAAGCGCGCCACAACCTGGACAACAGCAGGTTCCAGCAATGCAGCCACCGTATGCCCCTCCAGCAGCCAATGGTGCTGGCCCATCAGGGGCGAGTCAGAACCAGAGGCGAGTCAACCCTCGGAGAAGCTCACCATCTCCCCCAGCGTCCCACCCACCCGTCCCGAAGTCCACCACTACCAGCGCTGCCAATGACCTTGCGAGACAACTGGAGGAGGAACGTGACCGTCAGCTGTGCGTGGTCTGCCAGGACAACGGCAAGAACATCTTGATCCTGCCTTGCAAGCACCTCTGCATCTGCCTTGAGTGTGTGGAGGAGATAACAGGCCAGCCAAGACGAGATGCGAGGAAGTGTCCTCTCTGTCGACAGGCCATCAGAAGTTACCTGGAAGTCTACGCTTGAAATAAACATACTGGTGTGAAAAAGGATGAGAGAGACTGCCTTGTAATTGTATTCATTATACAGACATCATTTATGTTCTGTGGCCGATATGGGAATGTCTCAAAAGCCAGAACTCTTGGAACTTTCCACCAGGCAAAAGCCTGTTTTAATTGGGAACATGCATTGCTTCCTTTGGGAACAGCTCGGGAACACCAGGTGTTGGAATTTGAAGGGTCGGGGTGGTTAGGTTTAAGGCAATAAGCTACTACGGTTCTTTGCAAAGTCTACTTTTCATTCATAAAGAGTTTTGAAGGTGCTTAGAACTCACCAACACCACTTGTCAGGGTTGCGGGTACGAGTAAAAGTGGGGATTTGCACCTGTAACTTCCAGAGGCACTCCCAGAGCAAAAATAACTGACAAAAGGAGACTTTGCCAACAAGGGATGTTGACTCGGTTGGTAAAGCTATTTTATAGGCTTGGGCTTCAAAGGAATCTTCAATATTTGTGGGAAAAATTGTTTATGTTGCACATTTTAAGCCAACTGAAAAATGCAGTCACATCACATGGTGTGCTAGCTGAAGCACGTTAACCCGAACCCCTAACTATTTGGGGTCAAGTGATATATTTCAAATACCACAGAATACTACATGTGTTGTACCCATTGTAATTTCGTATGGAAGGAAATTATGCATACTACAGGTTACTACTCATTAGTATTTTGTAGCTTTTAGCATTACGCGCGTGAGGCACTGACCATAGAAATGGCAAGAGGGGTGTTTCACAAAAATGAGGTAAACTTGTTGAACAAAATCGTTGGGAAAATTGTGAATTTTTGACCGAAAGGTATTTATGAATGGGTTATCAGCATCCAGGCCAAGCCAAGCTCATATTTATTCCCGTATTAATGTGTGTGCATGTAAATGGCTGTAATATGACATTTTATCATGAAATTTATGCAAACTGTTTTTGTTGAATGATGCTGGTGGCCTGCATGTAATTTTTTTTTATGAAGTACAGTATATGGTACATGCATATTTCTAAATGCTGTGACTGTTATAATTTGAGATAGGCCTATACAAACAATGAATGTGCATATTTGTGTTATGAAAATGAAGTATTGTGAAAACACACAATATGTCTTGTACAGACTGCAAAGCTGTATTCAAGTTTCCATGTCATCTTTTTTACCTTTCTGCATCTTGAGGACAAACATCTGTTTCAATATGGTATCTCCTGACTCCTGCTCAATGCAGTTAAGGTTTGGGATACTGAAATATGTTTACTTTTACTGAAATATGTTTACTTTTTAATTAAAAGTATCAATGTTTTTATTTCAAGGAAAATGTTCCCGTCTTAAGAATATGACATTACACGTATACTCAATAGGTGCTGTTCTTACTTGTACATTGTAAAATGTTTACCTTTATGAGGGAGTGGTTTCATCATCCAAAATACCAGTTGACCACACCCCTTTTTTTCAACTCGTCTTCCAATTATCTGAAATCCAAAACTGTTTTTGTATCTTGTTTGTAGTCAGACTGCTGCTTTTTTCAAACTTACTGACATGTGTAACACCGCATTAACTTGTAGTCCTTTCATTTGATGCATCTAGCCTTGAATGCCATGTAATACTGTAAATGTAAAAGAGGCTTTACAATAATTTCTGTAATCTCAACTTTATGCTTATTGCCTGAAATGACTTGTTATCTAGCCACTTGCTGTTGGATGATACACTAAAGATATTGTAATGCAGATAGGAAGAAATTAATGTGTGTCAGTTTTTTATAGATTTTCCCGGCCAAGTTAGCAGATTTGGCGGCCAAATTGGTGACCAATCGCTCATTTTCGCACGAATTTGAATGCACGTGGAGATCAACATTCAATTAGCTAAAAACACCAATCAATTTAACATTTGAAGCATGCGATTGCACATTTTAATCATGCAATTTTAAACAACAGGGCATTCAAATTAAAATCGCACAAACGAGCATCCAAATTCGCCGGAGCTCCCAGCTGTGTAAGTTTGGTCATTCAAATTCACCATTAAGCAGGCATTTGTGAAGAGTGAGCAAATGAATTCGAAATAGGTTTATGTCATTCCATTGTTTGTTAGAATTAGATGGAGTGCCTTTGTTCCAATTTGGAAGTATGGATATAAAACCTGTCTCCAACAAGATTCTGCCAATACTCTGATCGCCTTGCACACTGTTAGCTTGAAGCACTAGAAATATCAACATGGCAGTAATGGGCGTTACATGAGAATTTCAAATGTAGATGCAAGGCACGGCAAGAGATCAATGGCTAACAGACCTGCAGAAGACAGTTTCTTCATCACTCCAAAATAAAGAGAGACAAAAAGGGATTCTAAGATGATCAAACATCTGAACAGTTAAAGAGATGTAAACAAATATATATATATATATAACCAAGATCACAATTGAAAACAGAAGATCAAAAACCCAAAGATAAAGAATTAAGAACATAGATTTATGTGAACACGATAAAAAGAAGGGAAAACATCAGCTAAGTCTACTGTTGCCTATAGGTTTGTTGTTTCATATATTCATATATGTTAAGTTATGCCCCCTTTTTGTTTAATTTGTTTACATTATTCTTTAAAATAAAGAGACGGATAGTAGACACTTTGAAAAAAAATGAAACGGAAAAGCAGAAATGATAAAAAGGTGGAAGAAATATAAAGACTGGCGTCGTATGCTTTCGTTTTATTTTAATTTTTTTGAATGCAAAAAGTGCTAAATAGAATGCACTGAAATGAAAAAGAAATCAACGCACACTCGCAGGTTGAACGCACAATTTTTTTTTTTACACGTGGAGAGAGATTTCTCGAATAATAGAAGAAAACGTGAGGAAGAAAATAGCCTTGACCAAGGCTATCAGCTTGTTCCCCGCACACAGCGCGCGACACGCTAGTTGTACAGTACCGTTAGCCCTAACGACCATTGCGTGTGCTTTGTGTGCATGTACGTACACCCCACACACACTTCCGCAAACAGCCGTAGAATAAGTCGAGGCGGAGCCAGAGATTCCTGGAATTATAGTAAAGAAGATACCATTTAATATAGCTCTATGGAAGATACCAACTTAATGCTCAAGTCTAGTGTGACGGCCGCCTGTATCGCATGCAGGCTCAGCAACAACAAAGACTTGTTTTTAAGACTACTTCAACGAACAACGTTAGTGCCAGAGAGCGCTATTTAGCATTTCCACAGTTTTTCTTCTCTCTTTGCAGTTTTTTTTTTGGACCCCCAAAACGGGACCGGGGCAGAAAAGGATGAGAAGCAGAGCGAAAATGAACTTTATGAAGGTCACTCTGAAAAAAAAACATTTCTGGGTGTTTCTTTGGGAATGCTCTACCCCGCAGGACACATGGCCGTCATGGCAAAGCCACTGGCGCACCAAAAATGATGAAAAACGAGACACAAGTGTGGCTGTGAATGTGTTCGGTTGAAGAATTTTCCGAAAAAGACCGAGAAAAGTACATGTATATCGAGGGAGCTGCCAAATCACTCGTCTGAATATTTATACGCTAGGGCAAACACCTCGACAATGTTCAACCAGACAATGAAACTACAAGCGATAATCTTGAAATTACATGTATAAAATATTTGAATCGGAAGTATAAAATTGTACAATAATAATCCCAAATTAAATTGTGAGAGATGGCCCTAAGGACTAGCTTCTCATGTTGTTGAAGTTGAAGCACAAAGGTCATCAACAAAGTAATGTTTCATAAAGAAACTGCAAATCAGATACGTCATCGACATAATATTGGAAAGGACTAGAGAGGCCGCCCTTGCTCATACGGTAGCCGACCAGTAAATAAACTTCCATAGACCCCAATGGAAAATGCTCCCACTTCAAAAATTCGGGAAAAATATTCACAACTCTCCAAGGTGTTCGAGACACACATCAAATTAAAACTTATTTCATCATCTTTCATGTTCTTTCCAATTTTTGGGGGGTCAACTGATGACTTTTAGGAGAAATTTCCATCTGAAGATGATCACCCCTGAAAATAGTCCTGAAGCCCATCGCCATTTTGAAAAACGATGCCTACACTCCATTGCAAAGTAGAGCGCTTTTAGGGTCCAAATTACATCAAAATTACACAGAACTGCAAGCTCCAAGTCCTGTGCACGGTTTCCACCCATATTTTTTACAAACCCTCAAGTTCATGGCCCACAGCATGCTCAAATACCGAAGATTTTGAGGGCATGCAAATCGTGATTTGGCCGGCGCAGGCAATTTCGGACCGATTTACTGGTCTGCACCCCTACATTACCAACCTCCGTTTTTAGAAAATATTGGGAATTCCTGGAAATTTTACTGTCGTCATTCAGTTGGGATTTACAGTTTGACGAGTAGCCACGTCAATATTCACACTACGCCCCACCTCGTTTTTGGCAGATTGTTAATGAACTATTTCTTCTAGTTTTATTTAGTGTTCGACTTCGAGGACACTGATGAAATGCTGGTCTTTTCAAGTTGTTTTCCCGACTCGGTGGGGACGATTGCATTTCGGCTACAGCTGGATGACTGGTACAGTATTTTTTTTAATTCCATCTTTCCTCCGTGGCACAGTATAGCCACATGAATGCAGCTCGAATACGTGACCAGGCATTCTCCGGACATGACTTAATTTGTGTGGAAAAGTTGATTTTAAGGAAATCGAAATTGGAACCATTTTTCTCACTTGATTTCAACCATAGAAGATATATGCCTACTCACCTGGTTAATAGGCAGGAAAATTGAATTTTCAGGCCAAATTTGCAGTGAGTTTGTCTAAAATCGGGCTCTCCTTGCGTACGCGGTAATGATCCTTAATTTCGCGGTAATGATCCAAATCTCTTGAAGACGGTCAGAGCATACTGACCGGAACGTCGACGTTATACCTCTGGTTCTTTTCAGAACAATTCTCTTAGTTGAGAAATTATTTGCACATTGTGTTTCCGCAAACCTTTCATTATTTAATATATCTACACCATGCAAAGCCTCAAATCTTACTGATCCGTCTTCCGTAGGCAGGCACAAAAAAAATGATCACTTTGTCTAAGCCAGGTATATCGGTTTTTCTTTTCGTTTTTTTTCCGGGTCGGATCAGTTCGGGTCGGTTTTACCTAATTTTCATGCTACTTCGCTTCGCTCATACGCATGAAAAACAGTTTTGTTTTACAGAATGAGGGGCAGGAGACACTCACAGTTTATTATACACCATGGGGGCTGGCCTGCGCACGGCCGGCCGGGCACGCAATATGTCTAAAACTCAAATCATAACAATAATAATATAATAATAACAATATCCCTTTGCAGTAGACGCCAAGTGTCTCTTTCAAACACTTAATACTCCTGTAATCAAACACTGAAAACTATAGCTTCTTGGACTCAGATTGTACATTTCTACAATACTTCCAAAACAAAACCCATTAAGCTGAAGAAGTACATACATGTATGAATCTTTCCATATGAGTCGCCAATTTTTGCAAATTAAGATAAATAATGATTAGCAAATATTCCTCTTTAGCGATTGCTTTAGCTCTTTTGCTTAGTAATTTGTTACACATTGCAACCCACTGCTGTGTCGACTGCCAGATACGAAAAACCACAAAAAACATTTTTGGAAAAGTGGAAACGTACATCTGAACTATGCAACTCAATGCTCTCAGGCTGGACAATTGGTGTCTGTTGATATACAATTGAATAAAACTACATGTACATATATAGGTATTACATTTTCAGATTTTCTGGTTTTGATACAACTGTGTTAGCACATCATGAGCTGAAGAATTTAGGAACTGATTTGCATAGTGAAAAAGATACACAGAAACAATGTGAATTGGACTTATATAGCTTATAGAATTGAATAAAAATTATGACAAATTCATACAGCTTGGTTGTTGTCTAAACCTCAAAGTTGATAATTCATTCTTATTAGCTTCTTATATAAACCGAAGGATCTTCTTACAAATTAATTCTGTAATATAGGCCCTATCAAGGCATTAATGACGGGCGCTTTTAATACAGAATAGTGTCAAAAACTCTTACATCCGATCAGAACTCAGCACATATACTTTTGGCCATTAAGGCCCTTCAGGACTAGGCCTGATAACAACAACTTTTGGCCCTCAACCGTGTCTGGTCAAAACATCATGTAGCCTACCTCGCATGGTATACACGGTGACAACTATAATGCCACTGATTTTTGTGTTTAAATCACAAGCAAGTACATGTAATACGAGCAAATTAAAACAGCCCGAGTTGTTAAGTTGTTTCGTAGTGGCATCGTTGGCCTGTCAAGACTTGGCCCCGGATAACATCTCCAAGCGACGAATTACAATTTTACATTGAACATATTTTCGACAATTGCGAAAGTATTAACTATTATTGCTGTTATCACTAGTAGGCGAGGCAGTGTTTACGCTCCTGCATAATCAGTGTTCTGGACTTTAGAATAAATTATGGAATTCTCATTCCGACACTATTCAACACAATAAAATAACAACAATGTGTCTAAAAGAAGTTGATGATTATCTGCATGTAGTCGCCAATCCTGCTGAACCTGTTAAGTTAAACTTTGTACAATACTTCAACAGTTTAAAGGTTAAGAGCTAGAGAAAACGAGCTTGGGCCTAAAAAGAGCCTTTGCGTTAATTATTTTGACATTCGTTGCAGAATTAAACTAATCGTGAGAAAATATTCATAAAGCTGCGTAAGCATATCGTCACCTGATGGAATTGGAATCGTAT